GAAAGAAAGAAAGAAAGAAAGAAAGAAAGAAAGAAAGAAAGAAAGAAAAAGAAAGAAACCAGGCTTATAAAATCTTCAGGTTTTTAAGCTAGCTCAGGCCCTGAAATATTGGTTTGAAGCTAAGTAGATGTTAGTGTTTAAAAAGAAATCCCTGAGCAAACATTACATGAAGAAAAGCTGAGTAAGATCACACCTCATATTATGATAGGTTGGATCACAACATGAAAGCAACAAAATTACTCGGCTTGGAATGAGGTGCCCACGAAAGTTCATCCTTGCTAAGTGAGAGTTTAGATTCATGAAGGCAGCAGCAAATGAAATCAGCTATTCGAAGAAAAGTTAAACAAAGAAGAGTCTTATTGTGGTAGTGACTGTTTAGTAGAGGGATCTGAGAAAAGAATAACAGAAAATATACCTCTCTAACTCCACCTAGAAGTATGGTTATTCATAGCTACCTACATTCCTGTACAGTGGCTCTCACAGATATTCAACAATTGCAATTGTTTTGGGAACTATAGCAGCTGATTGCCTCTGGTCCTGTACTTTGGTGGTGTCTGAAGCATCAGAGTGCTACTCTGAGTACCTAGATGCCAGTGAGAGAGAGCATAAGTGTATGAACAGCCACACTCAACAAAAAACCAACCTGCCAGAGAATACAGTGGGCATAGCCATAGTTAGCAGGGATGGAAAAAGTACCCTTGCCCACTTGTACAAGTGTTTCTTACAAGATGGATGCAGGAGAGAGTTCCAGGCTCAAAGGAAAATATACACTTATATTACTTTCTGTTGATTGGAAATCTGGTACTTATAGAACATCTTTTACATTGGGAAAGTGTGTCTCTTTAGTGATAAATGCTACAGAGGGAATATTTTGGCCCCCTCCCTCAAGCTCATATTCTGAAATCTTATCCCCAGTGATTGCATTTGTTGGTGGGGAATTTGCCACGAGATGAGTCCTCCCTAGTGAGAAGAGTGTCCTTATGAAGGAGGAAGGGAGAACCTCTTCACCTTTTCTGCCACGTGGGAACACAGTGACATGAGGCCTTCTGTGAACCAGAAAGTAGCTCCTTCCTGGACACTGAACAAGCCAGGACCTGGACCCTCAGCTTCTCACTCCCCAGAACTCTGACAGCTCTAACCCTAACCTTACTTGTTGTTTATGTCCTCCCGCTTCTGATATTCTGTTAGAGCAGTCCAAATAAACTATGACAACTAATAAGCAAATACATAACCAAAAGCAGATCTCATCAAAGAGTGCACTACTGGTTGAATTTTTCCCTCAAATTTCACATTTTAAATTCCTAACTCTCTCTCTGTACTCACATTTATCAACATATTTGGAAATAGTACTGTTGGTCGTGTGGTTAGTTAAGAAGAGATCATGGCTGGGGATTTAGTTCAGTGGTT